GCCATGGATTGTATGAGTTCTCTATATATTTTTAACATTAATCCCTCCTGAGATATATAATTGCAAATATATTTCCTCCCATTCATCAGGCTGCCTTTTCATTTTGTCAGCGGCTTCCTTTGCTGTGAAGCTTTTATTTCGATGTAACCCCCTTGTTTGTATTTCTTTTGTTGCCTTTGTTTTCCATGTCAAACCCAAAAAATCATCAGCAAGACCGATGGTAAGTGCTTACTGCCTGTTTTCTTCTAGGAGTTTTCTGAATTCAGGTCTTACATTTAAGTCTTTAATCCATTTTGAGTTGATTTTTGTGTACGGTGTAAGATAGTGGTCCGGTTTCATTCTTTTTAAAAAAAAAAAGACTTTTTAAATTGATTTTAGAGAGAGAGAAGGGAGAGGAAGAGAGAAACATCGATGTGAAAGTGATACATCAATTAGCTGCCTCCACCACACCCTTTACCCGGGATCAAACCCGGGCATGTGCCCTGACTGGGAATTGAACCTGCAACCTCTCAGTGCCTGGGACGATGCCCAGCCGAGCCGCCCCAGCCAGCGCCAGTTTAATCCTTTTGCATGTGGCTGATCAGTCTCCCAACACCATTTACTGACTATCTTTTACCTGTTGTATTATTTTTGGCTCCTTTGTCATAAATTTAATTGATCATATACTAGTACCAGTATGTGTGGGGCTATTTCTGGTCTCTCTTCTGTTCCATTGATCTACGTGTCTGTTTTTGTGGCAATATCATACTATTTTGATTACTATAGCCTGTAATATAGCTTGAAACCAGGGCACGTGGTGCCTCCAGCTTTGTTCTTTTAAGATTACTTTGGCTATTTGAGGTCTTTTGTGGTTCCATACAAACGTCATGATTGTTTTATTTATGTGAGAAATGTCATTGGGACTTTAATAGGGGTTGCATTGGATCTGTAGATTGTTTTGAGTAGTATGGACATTTTGACAATATTAATTCTTCCAATCCAGGAGCACAAACATCTTTCCATTTATTTATGTCCTCTTCAATTTCTTTCATCAGTATCTTGTAGTTTTTAATGTACAGGCATTTCACCTCCTTGGTTAAATTCATTCCTACATATTGTCCTCTTTTTTTAAAATATATTTTTATTGATTTCAGAGAGGAAGGGAGCAAGAGACAGAAACACCAATGATGAGACAGTCATGCATCATTAATCAGCTGCCTCCTGCATGCTCCCATTGGGGGATTGAGCCTGGCACCCTGGCATGTGCCCTGACCAGGAATCAAACAGGGACCTCCTGGTTGATAGGTCAACATTCAACCACTGAGCCACGCCAGCTGGGCCCTACATATTTTTCTTGATGCAATTTTAAATGGATTTGTTTTCTTAATTTCTCTTTCTGATAGTTTGTTAATAACTATCAGAAAGTTTATGGAAACACAACAGATTTTTGTATGCTGATTTTGTATCCTGCAAATATACCAAATTCATTTATTAGTTCTAACAGTTTTTTGTTTTGGTGGAATATTCAGGGTTTTCTATATATACTAGGGTCCAGTGCACAAATTCATGCACCTTGAAAGGAACTGTGGGCCATGAGGCTGCGGTAGGCACAGGGGCGGGTCTCGGCCCATCATCCGTGCCCCCCACCAGGCCCCTCCCACCGTGGCCCCCAGTCCCGTCTGCCGGCAGCCCTGCTCCTGCCACAGCTCCCACGTGCTGACGGTGCACGTACCGCTGAAAGCAGAGTGATTGGGGCCAGCACCAGCAGCGGGTGCAAGTGGGGCCGTCGCTGTCAGCAGGTGTGAGCAGCAGCAGCTGCCCGGATCGCCCCTCAGGAGCAGGGGGAGGTGGAGAAGCCCTCAGGGGCGATAGGGACAGCAGCCACTGCTTGCACCCGCTGATGGCGCCGAGTGATCGGGACCGATCAATGATTCTCTCTCATCATTGATGTTTCTTTCTTTCTTTTTTTAAAATATATTTTATTGATTTTTTACAGAGAGGAAGGGGAGGGATAGTTAGAAACATAGATGAGAGAGAAACATCGATCAGCTGCCTCCTGCACACCCCCTACTGGGGATGTGCCTGCAACCAAGGTACATGCCCTTGACTGGAATCGAACCTGGGACCCTTCAGTCCGCAGACCGACGCACCATCCACTGAGCCAAACCGGTTAGTTGGATGCCTTTTTCTTTTCTTGCCTTGTGGCTATGGCCCAAGTAGTGATAAAGCTAATAAATGTGAAATTTAAACCCTGACTTAAAGCCCACTTCTTTCCCAGGTCCTACTGCCCTTATGGAATTGGAGACAGTGTGTGCACTTTGCTGTTTATGGCTCTGGGCAGGGCAAGACCAGAGGCCTCTTCCCTGGGCTGCTAAGAGGAGGAGTCAATCTTGGTCCTCTTCCCCAGCCAGGGCATACTGGTTCTCACCCACACTGGGCATGTGCAGTATCTCAATTAAGTCTTTTTAAAAGTTTTAAAAACATTTTTGTTGAACATATTACATATTTCCCCCATTGACCCCTCTATGCACCATCCCCCCAGTAATTTTTTTTATTGAACTTATTGGGGTGACATCCTATATAATAAAAGGGTAATATACAAATAGACTGAATGGCAGAACCAAACAACCAATCAAAGCATAATATGTTAATGATATGCTAAGGCTGCTCAACCGCTATGACAAGCACTGACCACCAGGGGGCAGATGCTCTGACCGATAGGTTAGGTTGCTGCTGGGGTCCGGCCAATCGGACTGAGCGAGATAGGCTGGACATGCCCTGGAGTCCTCCCACGGTCCCTCCCTGGCCTGATCATGCACCGGTGAGTCCCTGAGCCTGGCCTGCGCCCTCGCAATCTGGGACCCCTCAGGGGATGTTAGAGCCGGTTTCAGCCTGATCCCACAGGTCACTCCTCTTGGGAGGGTGCCAGAAGCAGGGCTCATGGCTGGCGCAAGCCTCTCCCAATCGGGACTGATTGGGTGCGAGCCTGTGGCAGGCACAGTGGGGCCGGGATGAGCGGGAGCAGCAGGTAGGAGCTGCAGGCAGCGTTGGACTGCAGGTTTTGGCCCCGATCCCTGCAGGCCACCAAGAGGGACCCCACCTGTGCACGAATTCATGCACCAGGCCTCTGGTTTGTTAATAAAAGTCAAACCTTGGTTCTCAAAAGTCTTCCATCTCAAATAATTCGCGTCTCAACCTGACAACCCTTCCATGCTGATAGGTGTATGAACAGTCATGCGTCTCTCAAGCAACAAAGGAGAGAATGCGTGTGAGTGTTTATTGCTAACATGTCAGGAAATTGTGCTTTATTTTCATTTTTTTTTGCTTTTGTTGCTCATTATTATTAAATTTTCATTTTTTAATGTACACTTCCTTCTTGTTAAATTTTCATTTATATTTCATGTTCTTTTTAAAAAACATATTTTTAAATAGATTTCAGAGAGGTAGGGAGAGGGAGATGGAGACATCAATAATAAGAGAGAATCATTGAACGGCTGCCTCCTGCATGCCCCACACTGGGGATCAAGCCAGAAACCTGGACATGTGCCCTTGATCAGAATCGAAGCTGGGACCCTTCAGTCTGCAGGCTGAAAGTTTTAAACTTTCACTGAAAGTTTTAAACTCTCTCCACTGAGCCAAACCAGCCAGGGCATGTCCTTTTTGTTTTTAAAGTGTTTATAGATTAAACAGTATATTAGACATGCACTGTACATAAGGTTAAAACGGCATAATTTGGGGTTCTGGAACGGATTAGTTCTATTGACATTATTTCTAATGGGAAAAATGTATTGGTTTCAAACAACCTTCAGAAACAAATTAAGTTCATGAACCGAGGTTCTCCTGTATATAAGTTTCAGGTGTCATTTAAACCCTTCAACATCTACTGGGGCTCAGCAGTGAGCGAGGGGACTTGGACTTGTCCTGTGGGCGCCTGTACACGATGCAGACCATGAGGAATATCTGTCCAATCTAACAGCTCCAATCTACATGCCTTATATCACACTCAGAGGTCAGAGCTAATAAAGTGGTCCTCCTCTGGGTAAGGCCAACCCTCCTACCAAAGACAAAGCCACACAGATTTCAGGCCTATTACCAAGCCCCTCGATTTTTGTGAACACATAGAGTTGTTTAGTTTGACAGCCACTGCTGAGCTTCCCAGCCAGAGGGTCTGCATGAACACACCCGGCAGCGAATCAGAAGCGGCACTTAGTAACTCCCTCAAGCAATGCTGTGCAGTCCCTTTCAATACTTCTGGTCACGGTGAGGAACACGTCTCACGTGGATGCCAATATGTCTTAAAGCCTTCCTCAACGTTGGCCAGTCTCTCTCTTGAACAAAAACATCAGGATTTAGGTTCGGAGCCTTTGGCAGGTAACAGTATACGATTAGAATTCAGTATTACTTGTCTTTGGCTTTTTGTTTTGTTTTCATTGCATTTTAAAATATTTATTTCTGTATTCAAGTTTTACTTATGGTTAGTGACAGCACTATTTTAATAATTCCTGACATTATGTGGTTAAGATCAAAGATAGTGCCATGAGTTTGAGAATTAAGTGACAGGGGTTGGAAGTCAGTTTGAATCATGGCTCTGCTACTGTCTTGGAGAAATAACCAACTTTTTGAACCTCACTTTTTTCCTTTGGAAAATGGAAATGTTGAGCCCTGGCTGGTTTGGCGGATAGAGCATCCGCCTGCAGACTGAAGGGTCCCAGCTTTGAGTCCGGTCAAGGGCACATGCCAGGGTTGCAGGCTCGATCCCCAGTAGGGGGCGTGCAGCAGGCAGCCAATCAATGATTCTCTCTCATCGATGTTTCTATCTCTCTCACTCCCTCTCCTTTCCTCTCTGAAATCAATAAAAAAAGAAAAAAAGAAAAAAGGAAATGCTGAGATGCTTCTCTGCCCCCAAAATAAGGTATTTAAAAATTACCACGTGTCCAACATACGATACCCAAAGTACAAATGAAAGGTCTAAATACCAAAACTTAATAGCTAAGCACAAGAACACAAAATCACAAAAAAGCTGGTTGTTTCACCTCCTGGTTTTATTAACTACCAACAGGGCACCTAGATAAGAAAGTATCATGCCTGTAAGAAGTTTAGTTTTTTCTTTTTTTGTTGTTGGGTTGTTGTTTTTTACTGATTCTAATCACTTTATTATGGAACATTAAGGTTTTGGGGGGAGGGGTTTAACAATGTTAATGATAATACTATCAAATGAAAAGCAAACTTGGTACCTTAATCTTTTGACCAACAAGACAAGTTCAGGATTCAGTTCAGAGAATATTTTTCACTGAGATGCCACCTCCCTGGGAGGCTTGGCCTGTGCAGCCCGCCTCCAGGCCTGGCGAGCCTGCTGTAAGTTTAGTTTTTAAAGTGCGATTACCATAACCTAGCTAAGTACCAGCTAACATACTCCTTTCCATACAAGTCTGTTTTAAAGGTTACTGAAGTGTAACGTAACCAGAATCTATGCTCCCACACAGATTTCCTGATCAGAGAATGTTTTATTCTTCCAACTCACTTTAGCATCACTATTAATACACAAATGATAAAAGCAGGCTATTTTACACAAAGTTTCCCTGTAAAATCCAAATACTCATACCAATGTCAATCTCTAGTTTGGCAATGCTTAAAAAATGTTACCATTTGGAGGAAGCTGGGGGTAGGGTACAAAGGATGTCCTGTATTCTTTTTCCAGTTTACTCTGAAACTATAATGATTTCAAAATAAGTTTAAATTTTTTAAAATTTACTCATTAAAATGGGAGTATAAACATTGTAGCTCAAAATTTAGAACGAAAATCTGAATGGCTGGAGATCTTGGGAGTCACCTGACATATGATGCTTCAGTCAAGGGGACGGAGGGACCCAATGAAAAGGGCCAATTTATGTACAATGCTCATTACTAACTGGTAGCAATAAACATTATATACTTTTGTCACATCTGCTTTCCCCAACTCCTAGACCACGAAGGCTCTGAAGTAGCTATAGCATTAAGAACAGTGTGAGGAGGAGAAAGGCCTCCTAATTTTGCGAAAACCCAGCAAGAACACTTTACATATAATTTATTTCAGTCACTACACCTGGGGCTCACTCACAGCAATTGCACAATCCCGGGCGAACCGTCTGCCAAGGTTCGGGGCTGGGTGGGACCCAGACCTCACTGGGTTTCATCGCGGACCCTCCCCACCAGCGAGTCGGCCTGGCTCAGGGCCAACCTGTCCTTCTTCTCCTTCTGCAGGACCTGCTCCTCCCACAGCGCCTGGTCCACCTGGTCGTCAGTGAGCACGACCGGCCGGTACTTCTCGTCGAAGAGCCGCTCATTGGCCTCCGAGTGCAGCTGATGGGGCCCGACGACGCGCAGATGTGCCGGCAGGTGGAGGAACTCGTCGTCGTTGATGTCGCAGTCGCGCATCCGAGCGCCCAGCACCCACCAGCGGCCCACGAAGCCCACGTCCAGGATCCGGTGTGGGAACTCGACCCAACGGGGCTGCAGGTAGCGGCAGCGGGCCTGGTAGAGGCTGGCCTGGGCGTCGTAGGGCGCCTCGTACACCAGCGAGCAGAGGGCCAGGTTCACGTGGCGCAGACGCCCGCGGCCCCGCAGCCAGAGCAGCTGCTGGACGTGCGCTTCCGAGGTGCGGTTCCGCGTGGCGGGCGCCAGCAGGAGGAGGGTCCCCGACGCGTCGAGCAGGGCCTCCTCGAAGGCCGCCTCGCCCGGCGCCAGAGCGCAGCAGGCCGCCGCGCCGCCCAGCAGCCCCAAGTAAACGGCCGCCCGGCCTGGCCGAGCCCGCGCCGCCGCCGCCGCGTCCCTGCAAGCGTCGGCGTAGTCCCGGAGCAGCGCGCGGGCCCAGGTGCCTACGGGAAAGAAGCGGTGAGAGGGGTCGGGGCTGTGGCCACTCACCCCGCGCCTCTCGCCGCTGCAGCCACCCGCCCGCCGTACTCACCCAACCTCGTCCACACGCCTGGCTTCGCGGTTGCCGCGACCCCTGCCTCTCCGCGGCTTCGCAACCAAAGTCGCTTCAGAGTCGCCGCCGCCATCCCCTTCCGGCTTGACGTCCGTTTTCCGAAGGGAAACAACAGTTACGCGAAGGAAAAGGCCCGGGAGTCTCATCTGCGCAGGCGTCAATGTTGCCGGTAGTGGCTTCCCATCGGAAGAGGATAGAAAACGGACCGGCGCCGGATGTTGCTCTCTGGGACAAGTGGGATTGACTGGCCCGTAGGCCGGCCGCGCAGGCGCAGAAATCCCTGGCCACGCCGACTGCGACGGCCTCCGGTGAGGAGGGCGGGTTGCACCTGTGTGTAGGGTCGGCGAGTTCACGCCCAAGCGGGGACCGTTTACCGCCAGGCCCGGCGGGTGCGGAGGGATAAACCCCGGGAGGGCGCCGAGTGGGATTGCGTGCAGACCTGATTGGCCTCTGTCTTCAGCGCGGGATGCGGAGACGCCCCTGAGCAACCATGGCTGCGGCCGACGAGCTGGCCTTCCATGGTGAGTGCGCCTGTGATCTGGCCCGACCTCCTCCCCCTCTGGCCAGAACCTCGCATCCAAGTCCTAACTCATATCGGACCCGAGCCGCCGTCAGCTGTCGGTCCTGACTCAGCTCTAACTCGAACTCCGCTCCAGTCCTGAACTCCGACCTCAAACCGGAGTCGCTACCCAGCCCCGACCCCGTCCCGGCACCAGCCCCCAGTTACCATCCTTGTTAGACGTGAGGGAACTCAGCTCCTTCCCACTCCCGAATCGAGGAAGCCTGGCCCCGCGTTGGGGAGCGCACCGAGGGGGCTACGGTTAGAGTCTTGGTCCCCTTGGGCCAAACCAAATTGTCGTGACCCCCCCCCCCCCAACATGCTTGTGTCCTATACTTATTCCCGACAGAGTTCGAGGAAGCTACTAACCTTCTGGCCGAGACCCCAGATGTGACCACTATCAGCAGAAGTGACCCGCGGACCCCAGAGGGGCAGGTAGCTGTGGCCGTGGGCTCAGGTGGTGGCTACGGAGCCGAGGACGAGGTGGAGAGCGACAAGACCGCGGTGAGTCCCGTGAGTCCCGGTGCCCCCGTCCTCCAGCCCCTCGTCCGCCCGGGCGGGGAGGGCAGGACTGAAAGCCCACCCTGTGCAGCTTCTCCAGGAGCAGCAGCCGCAGCCGGGATTCTGGACCTTCAGCTACTATCAGAGCTTCTTCGATGTGGACACCTCGCAGGTCAGGTCTGGGAAGCTGGTGGGAGGGGGCTGTCATGCTTGGGGTTCAGCTTCTTTGCGCGGAGCCCTTTCTGTGCCCTGGGCTCTGGGCAGGCTGGAGGCACACACGGGAAAAGGCTTCCCCGGGGCTGGCGGAAGTAACTGGCCGTGAGGTTCAGATGTGCTGCGCTGGGCTTTGGGGAACACAGGAAGCACACTTGCTATGGTGGGTGAGAACGGCCTCCTGGAGGTGGTAAGGGATTTGCTGAGACTTAAAGAAGGAAAACGTAGCCAGGCTGAGTGGAAGGATGCCCAAGTATGTTCCAGGCACAGGGAACATCATATACGACGACCAGAAACGAGAGAAGGCAGGACCTATCACAGAAGCTACCTGTCACTTAATCCTGGTTGGAGCATGAGAGGTGGGGGATAGGCAGGCAGGCAGAAGCCAGATCACAAAGGGACCTGTGAGGGATGTGCAGGACTTTGGGTTTTATCCTAAGGGTGCTGGGGAGTCGTGGAGGGTATAGAGCAGATATGCAACATGGAAGGTGGACCAGAGGCCCCATGCCAGGGTGAGAGGTGATAATAAACCAGGGCTACAGAGTAAGAGGGCCTATTGGAGAGAGATGCGGGAGGGAGAATGCCCGGGGCCTGACTATCCTTATTGGGGGGCTGGGGGAGGCAGCAAGGCCGGCAGCCCAGGGCAGCCTTGCAAAGAGGAAGGTGGAGGCCCTAAGTCTTTCAGAATGGTGGGACATGGTCTATTGAGTGGGGCTGGTCAGGGGAAGGGGCTCCAGGCCATGGGAACAGCTCATCAAAATCCCAGAGGAAATTGCAGGTTCCTTTCAAGCAGTGTGGAGAGGAGGAGGGAGGGCAGCAGGGGAGCCTCTAAGGTCAGGGGAGGAGCTTGGCCCCTTTCCTCTGTGGGTGGGGAGCCCCAGCAGGCTTCCATCCTGTGCCCGGCCTTGCCCCCAGGTTCTGGACCGGATTAAAGGATCGCTGCTACCCCGGCCTGGCCACAGCTTTGTGCGGCACCATCTGCGGAATCGCCCAGACCTGTATGGTGAGGTTATGCTTTTAGCTCATTTGATTCATTCAGCAAATGTGAACTGTGTGCCTGACCCTGTAGCACAGCTTAGAAGAAAGCGGAGCCCCTCACGGAGAGTATGAGACTTACACTGTTCAAGGAGACAGACATCGGAGGTTGCAGAGAAGCAGTCATTTCAGAGGATGACAGTTGCTATTTTGTGTGGGTTGGTCAGGAAGGACCCTCTGAGGAGGGTGAGGGAATGAGCCTTGTTGGTGTCAGGGTTGGGCTAGGGAGAACTCAGGGAAAAACATTCCAGAAGGGGCATAAGCCCTGTAGTGTAAAAACACCTGAACTGCAGGCAGTATTGTCATTGGAGCAGAAGAACCTGCCAGGCCACCACCTGGTGACAGACCGCACAACCTCCTAAGTTTCAGTAAGGGAGCTAAGTGTTCCTAGGTGCCCTCTGACCACTGTCGGGTGAGAGGGTGGAAGCCGGGAGGCCAGGGAAGAGACAACGACTGTGGTCCAGATCTTGGGGGAGGGAGGAGGAGGAGGAGCTTGTGTGGGGGTGGGGGTGGGTGTGGGTGTGGGTGGGGGGACTGGCCCCAGGGAGAGAGACGAGTGGTTGGATTCGGGCCTATGTCTTGAAGGGCAGGGCTGACAGAATTTGTTGACCCACTAGATATAGGGTGGGAAGAGAGGCGCCAAGGAGGGTGCCAAGGTTTTTGCCTGGACTGTGCCAAGCGTGAAGTTGCTATTTATCAGTAGGAAATGCTGGGCAGGTTTGAGGGAAGAGTGAGTGTGGTGGGGTGGAAAGGGAGGTGCATACGTGAAAACATTGAATAGAAGCCTGAGGTTAAGGGCAGAGGCCTGGCCTTGAGACATTTGGGAGTTGTTGGCCTAGAGGTAGCACAAAACCCTGAGGTTGGACAAGATCATGCAAGGAGTGAACATAGACAGAGGGGGGGCCAAGGACTGGGCCCAGCCAGCTCCCCATTAGAGGTCAGGGAGTGAAATAAGTTAAGGAATTGCCAGAGACATGAGACTTTGAAGCCAGAGTGTGGACTCTTCCCAGAGGGAGGGTGTCAGCTGCATCAAAGGCTGTTGAAAGGCCAAGAAAGATGAGGACTGAGCCAGCACTGGATTCGACCACCAGGTTGTCATATGGGTGGGTAAGTCAGGTCAGTAGAGTGGTGGGTGTGGAGGCAGCCCAGAGCCTGGAAAACTGGGACAAAACAGGACAAGTCACCTGTCCTGGAAGCTCTGTGACTGGGCCCGACACACTCCACCTGCAGGCCCCTTCTGGATCTGCGCCACCCTGGCCTTTGTCCTGGCCGTTACTGGAAACCTGACAGTGGTGCTGGCCCAGAGGAGGGACTCTTCCATCCACTACAGCCCCCAGTTCCACAAGGGTAAGCAAAGTAGGCAAGGCCCAGCACCTGGTGGGGCTAGGGGTGCCAGGGGGCCCCAGAGGTGACTGCCTGCCTTGCCCCCCAGTGACGGTGGCTGGCATCACCATCTACTGCTACGCCTGGCTGGTGCCACTGGCACTGTGGGCCTTCCTGCAGTGGCGCAAGGGCGTCCGGGAGCGCATGGGGCCTTACACATTCCTGGAGACTGTGTGCTTCTATGGCTACTCCCTCTTCATCTTCATTCCCACTGTGGTGAGTAAGGCCCCAGGGGGTGGGGGATGGCCTGTGCCATGGAGAAACCTGGTAGCTACCTGCCCATGTTGTCCCCAGGTCCTGTGGCTGATCCCTGTCCCGTGGCTACAGTGGCTCTTTGGGGCATTGGCTCTGGCCCTGTCAGCTGCTGGCCTGGTGTTCACCCTCTGGCCCATTGTCCGCGAGGACACCAGATTGGTGGCCTCCATGCTGCTATCTGCCGTTGTACTACTCCACGCCCTCCTGGCCATGGGTTGTAAGGTATGGGTCTGGGGTGGTCAGTTGGACCTCAGTGTTGGGGGTCAGCTTGCTGGCCCTGATGCTAACCTCAGGGGTCTGGGTTCAGTTTTACTTTTTCCAGCCACTGCCTCTGGAGCACATGGCACCTGCACACCAGGACACATCTCTGCACCCAAACGTAGTCCTGACACCCACCCCGCCAAGGCCTATGACATCCTAAGGCCTGAGGCTACAGGTAAGGAACTGTTTCCAACTGTGGCTAAAGGGCTTCCAGCCTCTGCCCCGCAAGAGCCACTGGCAGAGTTTCTCTTTCAGGTCTAACAGGAGGGACACTGCCTGCCCTGCCCCCAAGATGATGAGTGAAGGTTCCCTTGACATTTCAAGATCACTCTGCTACTTTCCAGACTTTTCTTACAAAGCAAACACTTTTATTTTCTATGCAAAGGTGATTCAGAGAATTTATATAAAGGTGGGAGACGGTGGCTGAACTAGGAGCTTCCAGTGCAGCTGTTGCCCCACGGGCCACCTGCTGGGCCTTCTTTCCCCGAGGGTCCGGCAGGAAAGCAAAGGGTCACTCCAGCCTCAGCTGTGCCCACCCTTGGCTCCACCACATCCAAGTTTGGGGGTGTTAGAAATGGGGGGAGCAGAAGTAGAAGAAAATTGCCTGTGCTGAAACACATTTCCTTGTTTATTTTGTTTTTTCTTTCTTTTTTTTTTTTTTTTTGAGGGAAATATCCCTGCAAGGCCCCTTCCCAGACTGAGAAGGGACCAAAATGCCATCATCATAGTAGGGACTGGAGCATCTACAAATACGGAGGGAAATACACAGGCCTAATGTCAGCTACAAGGAGAAAGGACGCCTTCCATGACATGTCCTTGAGGTTTCTCTGTGTCTGCCCCAGTGGCTGACAGGGACCCTCCTCCCCTCCAGGCCCACAGGCCTCCTATTCTAGCTCTTGGCAGGGGGACCCAGACAGGCTCAGGGACAGGACAGCAGCAAGAGGCAGGGGCTGGACGGAGGGCTTTCCCAACAGCTGGGGTGGGTTGTACATTCAAGTGTGAGGTGAACCCTTTTGTGAGGGGCCTGTGGGGCTACACAAGCCTGGCCCCACCTTGTCCTGAAGACCTGGCAGGGCCACCCCTCACCACCGAGCCACTGAGTTGGGGACAGGGGCTGCTGGCTCGGCCCGGCCGGCCTGGTTTTTTCAGAGGGTCTGTGGATTGACACTGGTTCTTTTTTGTAAAAAAATAAAATTAAAAAAAGCAGCATGTCACGCCCATTGTGACCAACGCCTGGTAGTTGAAGGGGAGGCCCCATCTAGCTAGGACTGCCTTCCCACTAGAGATAGGCAAGGGAGGGCAGGCGCCGGGGAACTGGGCAGGGCTAGTTGCTCCCTGCCACCTGCCAGCAGGGCCTGCAGCTGTCAGGCCTGGACACGCCTGTTCCATTAGATGTTAAGTCCAGGTCAGGATGGAGAGGGCAGGAGGGGGGAACAGGGCTCCCACAACATGATCTTGTGTAAAATATGGCAGCGACACGCGCTCAGAGCCAAGATGTGGTGGATGGTGGGGTGGGAGCGGCGGCAGCAATGTTGTGTAAAAAAGTGTCCAAGTTCCCATAGCAAAGAGGACTGTGACTGGTGTTTGGGCTTCTCCAGTACAGGGTGAAAGCCGCCCGGGCAGAGGGATGGGTGGGCAGGGTCTTCATTTGGTTTCCTGGTGCTGTCAGTCCATTCCCCACTGGAGGGGCCTAGCTCCCGTAGTGCATGGTGTTGGTTGGGATGGACATGGGTGAGGCCATTGAGATGGCAGGGCCGCCCATGGTGAACTGGCTGTTGACTGCATAGTGGGCGCTGGAGCCTCCGCCACTGCCGCCTTGGGTGCCGGAGGACCCTGTGGAGCAGGACATGGGCACTGAGGGACAGCTCTGCCCCCTCGCCTGCCCAGCCCCACAGCAGAGTCACAGGGAGAGAGAGAGCAGGCGAGAGGGCCAGTGGGTGGCCCAGCAGTCAGCATGCTCACACCCAGGTGACCCTCCCCCTCCATTACCTTGGACAATCCCTGTGCTCATTATGGAGCCCATCCGGGAGTGGGTGTGATTGACAATCCCCGTGTTGGCTGCGCAGCAGAGGGAGGAAGGAAGGGAGACGGCGTCACCGCCCCCAGCCAGCTCAGGCCCACGTTCTGCCTGAGGTAGGCACTCCCACTCACACTGTCACCAGGGTGCAGGGAGGGGGAGTGCAGCAGTGGCAGAGCGAGGCAGAAAGGAATGAGGACCTCAGCCAGGAGCCCCAGGAAGAGGAAAAGGTGATACAGAAGGCCGAAGCACATGGGCCATCCTGGGCAGCAAACCCTCCCCCCATTCCCCAGACCCAGGGACACTCACCTAAAGGAATCAGATTGTTGTGGCCCACACTGGAGCCGCCAGAGATAACACTGCTCAGGTCGTAGGCAGTTGGCATCCCTGTGTCCAGAGAGGGAGATGTCAGGGGTGGGGACAGTGTCCTGTTAGGGGTTCCAGGGACCAGAACTGCCAGCTTTACCCAGGGAGTGCTAGTAGGTGTGACCAGGAAGTGGCTCCCCCACACATACCCCCAAACAGGGACCTGCTCACCAGTCACGGTCATCCCACTGCTGAGGTTGTAAGTGCTGCCTGTGTTCCACATGTTCTCTGAGGGGGATGTGTAGTGGGAGCCAGGTGGGGGTGAGGGTGTCGTGCCTGTGTATCTGCAGCAGAGACGGACGCATGGGCAGGGCCAAGGGGCTGCAGGCCAGGAGAAGCCCCCTCCCCCTGATGCAGGCCGAGGGCCCATCTTACCTGAAGAAGGGGTTTTTCAGATCCAGGAGGTTACTGGATTTGGAGCCCGTCTGGTCTACCTGGGCCACAATACTGATGTCATAGCTCTGTCTGTAGAGAGGGCAGGGGTTGAGGGCCATGAGCTGGCTGGGTGGATGAACCCCTTCCTCCCCCAGCCCAGGGTGGCAGCTTGCACCTTTTGTTGGCAATAAGCAGACATGTCCCTGAGAGCGTGTCCCCAGCCTTGGCAAACAGTGGTGACTGGAACAGGCACCGGACCTGGTACCAGTGGGTCAGGGGCTCCGTCGGGGCCGTGGACAACCACACAGTCATTCTGCCAAGAAGGGACAGGCATGAACTTGACTGGGCTGGAGCCACCACCCTGTGCACCAGGAGCTCTCCCCAGGTGTCTGCCCTCTGATACGTCTTCTGGGGCCCTGGAGCTAAGACAGGCTGACCACCCAGGTAGTCCCAATCACGTGCCCACACACATACACAACAAGGAGACCACAGTCACGGGGTGCTCGTTCACCCTGACATACATGCCAAAGACGGACCAGGTCCTGTGAAGGATAGTCACTCAAAACAGGTGGACACTCTCCCTTTTCACAACAGTCTCTGGCTCAGGGCAATCTCTCACTGTCTTTTGGGAGGGACAGGGGAACCTGGAGGGTTGTCCTGCCCTCCCAGCTCCCAGTCAGCATCCAAACCAGCCAGGCCTGGGGTTCACAACTGCAGAGAGGTCCCAGGGGCTGGGGACAGCATGCTCTGCTCCGTTGAACTCACATGGAGCCAATGAATGCGACGTCAAACCAGAAAGCCAGACCGTGAACCAGCCCGGAATGCAGCATGTGAAATTTGAATGGGATTTCTATCCTGGAAAGCAAAGGGCAGTGATTACTGGGGAAGCTGAACAGAGGCTGGTAGGAGAGAAGAGGGGTGGCCAGGTGCAGAGTCCCAGACCTTGGCCCACTTGCCTGCCCTGGGGCAGTAGAATGCCTGCAAGAGCCAGCAGTGGCCCAGGACGAGGGGCGTGAGGGCTGGTACCTGTGCAAATCCCCTTCTTTGGCTTCTAAGAAGTTCACCGTGTACTTGACAGACTTGGCCATCAGGATCCGGATGTCAAATGTGTCCTGGGAAAGACCACAAGGGTGACCTGGCTTCGAGCTCAGGGGCCAGCAAGGCAAGGGAGAGTCCTGCTCTTCTCTCTGAGTCTGGCCATGGCCTCCAGGACATTCAGGTCAAACCAGTTAGCCCTTGTCAGACATGCTGGAGGAGGATGAACTTTTACCACACCATGGAGGACAATTAGATGACAGCTCTCAAAATAACAAGTGTTCATATGCATTAAAGACTTCCACTCCCAGGAGTTCAACCTACAGATAGATGTGCACATGTACAAATTCACACATCTAATTACAGACTGTCTATAGTAGTGACATACTGGGAAACATCTAATTAAACTGGTGGCCCATCCATAAAAGGCTGTATGTGAAAAACAACAAAGAGGCTCTTTATGAACATACGGGGAAAGATCTCTGAGATAAGCAAGTCAGAGAACTGTGTGCTGATGTCCAATCACAGCTACGATGCAGATTTTCTATCAGACTTACATTCTTGCCAAGAATTATATGAACCGAATAAAATACAAAGGAAAAAACCCAGTTGCTTGAAAGCACTGGAGAGCAATAGCAGCAGCCAAGGCTTTGGGGGCCAAGATCCTAGAAAGAAGGGAGGTGTTTTTTCCTGTGCCTTTCCCTCTCGATATGGGACCTTTCGGCGGCTTCCCTGGGTCGGGAAAGCAAAATGGGGGCTCAGGGTTACCAAGGCAGTTGGGACACAAGGAGCCAAGATGCTAAACCACTGTGCTAAAGGAAATGTGGAAATACAAGGTGCATGTGCTGCATGTGATTTCACTTTGTGGCATTTGCCAATTCCTGAGCTGTGTGTAGGGTGGGGGTTAGAGGACAAGAGACCAAGCAGAAGGCACTAAAAAGCTAAGGAAAGGTTCAGCACCATATTAGTGCTGGGAGGTTAGAACCAGGGCTCACATAAACCACTGCAGGCTACACCCTAAAGCAGCAGCAGTTCTCAAAGTGTGGTTCCTTCCAAAGCACCCAAGGTCAAAACTATTTTCACAATAAGACTCAGATGTTTTCTGCCCAAATTCATTTAACTCACCTGTGATATCACAACAGAGGAATCCAAATTTAAAATGCCAGTATCCTCACTGAAAAGTTTTGGACAACAGTTTTTGTTCTTAAAAATGCTATTTATGTTAATAGACAATGGTTTCACGACTGTTGTTTTTTTTAAATGAGTTAATAAATATTTTTAAATTTCTTGGGCTTAGGTTTTGTTTTTCTGTGTGTTTTTTTTAAAATGTTTATTTATTGATTTCAGAGAGGAAAGGAGAGGGAGAGAAAGATAGAAACATTGATGAGAATCACTGATTGGCCAACACCTGCATGCCTCCCACCAGAGATCAAGACCACAACCTGAGCATGTGCCCTGATCAGGAATCAAACGAGACCTCCTAGTTTAGCAGTCGCCAACCTTTCGGACCTCATGGACCACCACTGGTTGGCGACCGCTGTCCTAGTTCATAGGTAGACACTCAACCACTGAACCACACTGGCCGGGCTTAGTTTTTAATATCAATAGACAGAGACAGTATATCAATAGATATAACACACATTAACAAAAGTTCTTTGGAGTTCTCCATTTTTAAGAATGTAAAGGGAACCTAAGGTTAAAATGTTTGAGAATTAATGCCCAGGAAATATACCAACAGAGTCTGAAAAGTAGCCATGAAGTATCTCACTCAAATGCATGACAGGACCAAGTGATCTTGTCTGAAAAAACAAATCCTTGAAAGAAAA